TAAAATTGCAGTTGCCTCGACTTTGACTTTCCCTAAGGCCACAACGAGAAGCCAGAGTGTCATCCCACCTAGCAAGTTAGTCACAACGTCGAAGAAGTGGTCCTTGGCATACGCCTGCACGATCTCGTTCTCATGAATGCGGCAGAGCAGGAAGAGGCCCAGCTTGACAGCCGTAACCCCGACCATGACGCCGACCACCCAGGGCAGGCTCTTGAGGTGGAAGTCGTGGTTGCTGTTGAAGAATTCACGAGCTGCTTCGACGAGGACCTGAAGGCCCAGCATCGCCATGATGCTGGCAAACACGATAATGCCCTGAGGAGGAGGAGAGGAACAGTCAGGTTCAAATGGAGACCTTTTGGAGTTGCCATACAGGAGGGAAGACGAACAGCCAAACCGCCCTTTAAGACAGGGGCTTGAGTCAAGTCGGAGAGGGTTTGGTTGGCCGGAGGAGGTTTGCTGCACCTTGAGAAGACGGTATTTATGCTTTTCTGCATTGAAACACTGAAGAAACCGCTTTCATAGACTGAAGAAAGGGCAGATTGAAAAGCCTAAACATGACGAAGTGCACCTCTCTCTCTAAACGTATGGTCTTTCAAACTTCATTTCAGGACCGCTCTTCTCCTCAAGAGTGCATTTGCTCGCCACCAACGCTCACCAGTGGCTGCATCCGCTTCTTGCCAATGGGGTACTTGTACGGGTTCACGCGGCGCATGGACCGCGCAGTGTACCAGAGGATGAAGCCGCTAAGCATGTCCAGAAGGGAATCTAGGGTGCTGGCAATGATGGCCAGAGAGCGACTGGCGATTGACGCATATACTTTGAGGCAGAAGAGCAGCACGTTGGCGATGTTGCTCAGCTTGATGGCCAGCCGCTCCCCGCGGTCCGTCCTCTCCCGTTCCCTTTGCTGCACGATACAACGGGTATGTTGGATTGCAAAAAGAGGTGCCTTTGCAATGCACTTTTGGAGAAGCCATGGTGCTGTGCTGGCGCTGCTCAGAGCTGGGCGCTGCTTAGAGCTGAGGCTGCTTAAACTTAAAGCATCTGGGACTCTACCCTAAAAAGCAGTCAGATGTCTGATACTAAAAAGATAGTGTGGTTGCCTCACGGGGCTGTCAGCCCAGGAATGAGGCTGGCAAGTTTTCCTCACCATAGCCTCTGCGTTGACAGCCATCCTCTCCTCGAAGGTGTCCAGGTCGTTGAACTGGCTAAGAATCTCATTCTGCTTGTTATAATACTCGTTCACCAGCTTGCTGTACCCTCTCCTCTTTGTCAGAGGGTTGCAGAACGAGGCCTCAGGGTCTGGCGGTCTTTCAGCCTTCTCTAGCGTCTTAGGCAAGCTCTGACGCCAATCCCGCTCAATCGCAGGGCCCGGCTCGCTTGGACCGTCATGCGCCTCAGCACCTTCCTGTCCAATCTCCCATTGCGAGAGCACGGGGCACATGTTGGCGGCTGAAAGGAAAACCCCAAAACCCCTTCAAGAGCAGAGTCTGCTTAAAGATTGGACAGGTTCAAGTTGGCAAAGATGGAAGACAGCGTTCTTCAAGCAAGAATGTCCCTTTTGAGAAAGACGTCTTCTCATCCTCTTCTCCAGAAACGAGGTGCAAGCTCCTCCTCTCGAGGGCGCGCGCCCCGGCCGCGGCCTTAGCCGCGCACGGTTTGGCGCAATTTTCCTTGGCGCGCGCGCACATATAAGAGTCACGACTACTGTACGGCGGCCGGCCTACATGTGACCCGGGTACGGTCACGGACGGTGACGGTACGCCTGCTTGAACGGTCAGTGCTCGGTGAGAGGCCGGCGATCTGCGTGCTCATCAACCTCTGCACGTATGCATGCCGTCGGCCAATTCTTAATGCAGTCACCATTATTTCGGCCCAGCTAGGCCGGGCGCGATCATACATGCGTTGCAAATAGGCGCGACAGCGCTGCCGATGCAGACATGCATCCCATCAGTGTGTGCTGCGTGCTGAGCTATTGAAGACATGGCCCGGGGTCATATATAGAGTGCGTATATGAGACTTTCGTAGCATAGCGCTCACACATTCATGCAGCCGCGCCCACATCATCGCTTCGAGTCCGACGGTCGGCACCGTTGCTCGAGGTTCGATCTTCTTTGACCGACGTTGGTACATGTGTACATGTGTATCGAGTCCACAACCGTCCCGGACGCCGTCCGAAATGAAAATCGGACCCCGCGGCGTCGGTAAATTTAATCGATAATTCGGAATTCTACGGACCGTGGGTACTTCCACGGTATGGGTACTTCGTAACGCGAAAAATTTAGCGTCGAAAAATCTACGGCGATTCATGTAGAATTGAGTCCAGATTCTACTCACCAACACTTGGTCAAATTCCAGTGAAGCCGGTCGTGCGTTGGGATCCGTCGCTCCAAACTTGGAGCTGATTCTTCCGATATCAGCCACTACCATATAGAGCACATCCACGAAGATCGACGGCTGAGGGCCATCGGGGGAGGCACGGGTCAATCACTATCGTCAGTACAGTAAAGGCTAATTAAGACTATTATCACCATATCGATTATGCCCTGTTCAAGCTGACGGCATACCAGCGCGGCGCGCTCAGAACACCCGGTTATGCGCAAGCTAGGTATCCATGACCCTTCAATGATGTATGTAAAAGCAGCATAAGTAAAGGCCTATATAAACTTGTTACAAAGGTTGTAGGATCTTGTATGCAATATGCAATCAATGCCGTTTCCTATTGCAGCGATTCAGTTCACAACCTTCCAAATTGAATGATATCATTTGAAATTGCTTGTTTTGAGAGAATCACATGCGACCGTGGCAATTTAAAGTCGTATTAACTGTACTTACTAAGTAACCTACACTAACTTACATTGACTGCGGGTCATCCTAAATGCAATCACAGTATAAATAAGGCTGAATCTTGTCATTTGAAGTTGACTGAACCACGTTGGCTTCCTTGCTGAACCCTAGGGCAGGCGCACTAGCGGGCAGCCATGAATCCTCTCTCATGGCAGACGACAAAGCTACGGACAGAGTGCTCTGCAAAAAGCCTAGCCCAGAAGGAGGCAACCCTGAAGCGGAAACGGTTGGAGGCGGCCGTTGCGCAGCTCCGGCAAGGCGGTCAATTTGCTGCCCCTCCAAAGCGAAAGCTTGAAGTGCGGCCCGTCACTCGCAGAGCGTGCAAGCAAGGAAGCCAACGTGGTTCAGTCCAGATACGATGCATACATTGTTGAGAGTCAGGAGAAGCTGAGGGGAAGCTGAGAGCAGTAGAGGCAAATTACGCAGAGGCGTTACAGAATATGAAAGACAGGTTAGAGCAACAAAGCAAGCAACATCTCAAAGAAGTGACAGCCTTGCGTGTGAAACACCGCAGTGCGATCCAGACTTTCAAGGGGACCTTAGAGGGGACAGCGCTGCGAGAGCGGAAAATGCAAGGTGGCAGCACCGCGCCCACGCTCCGTAAGATGTCAAGCAAGATAGAGACAATGCTTACAGAGTTGTTCGCTAATTCGGAAGCCAGGAGACAGGCTCTGTATGAGCATTACCGGCGACATCCTAGCGACTACCAGCTCATCACTAATGTAGCGGCGGCAAACCGGACAACCTTTGAGGCGCTCTGCCGCTTGCACCCAGAGTGGCTGCAGCCTCATCAGCGCGCTGTCATTGAGGCAATCGAGGCGGCGTGGACAGTGAACCAGTGCCTCGCAATGCAGATCCACTGCAAGCTGGGTCACGGCGAGAAGTGGCAGAATCTCATTAATCTCCTCTGCAAGACCTACAACTCCCTGGCAAAAGAGTGGCAACCGCGGGAGATCCTGTACGAAGGCAGCAAGCTGTACTTGCCTTCGCTGAAGTCGAAGGGTCGGGTGAACGAGCACCGCGAAACCCTCCACGCCATCATTCCCCTCCTTCAAAACGAGGACGGTACCGCGTGCTGGACGGAACTCCCGCTCCTCATCAACGAGACGATCCTCCTTGACCGCGCGCGAGGATACCTGCAGAGCCGGACGCTTCAGAATCAGGACAAGGTGTGGCTGCATTGGGGGGGCGACGCAGCGGGGTGGCTGAGGGGCCAGTCCCACAGCATCTGGGGTTTCAAACTCCTGGGTAACCAGCGGGTAGTTTCACACTCTCCCAAGGACATGCGGGTTGCTCTCACTTTTGAGGGCAAGGACAAGTACTCCACCTACAAGGAGTACCTGCAACCCTTTCTGCAACACATGGAAGATCTGGCTGAGGGGGGGGTGCTCGTTGAAAACACGCAGTACGAGGTGGAGCAGACAATGGGGGCCGACTACGTGTTGATGTGTGAGCTCCTGGGTCACTCTGGGGCGGGTGCTACAAACGGGTGCTGCCTATGCGAGCAGCATAAGGACCTCTACGGCAAGACGGTCCTAAACGACGACGGAAGGAGAGTCCCCGTGAAAGCGAAAGCCCGGACGACAGAAAGCATGGCTGCAGCAGCGCACCGCCCCTGGACTACTGGCCCTGATGTTCACTGCCCCCACTGCGACGAGCGGTTCCCTGACCAAGCCGCTGTGGACGCCTCAAAACCCCCCGAAACCAAAACTGAGATCCGGAACTTCCAGCTCCGCCACGCTGGAATGAGGTTTGGCACTCCGCCACTCTTCAAATTCCCCATTACAGCCTACGTCATCTGCATCCTTCACCTCCTGCTACGTCTGATGGCCATCACCTTTCTTCGAACGGTGGCAGTCAACATCAACACAGTGGCTAAAGCTGATGCAGTCAACGCCCTGATCAAGGCTCTTCACCTGGGATGCAAGAAGTTGGAGCCGCGAAAGAAGAGCGGCGACAAGAAGAAAGACACGCAGAACCTGAACTTTATTGGAAGGTAAGAAACCTTGGACACTCACCACACAATTTGCATTTGGTCTTCTGCAGGTGCGTACGTTCTGCGCCCCCAGGATGGTGTCGCTTCCAATTTCAGCTGCTCCGGTTTTGCTTACGTCCCGTGCTTGAAGCCGCTTGATCCGCTCTGGAGTCGAACCAGAGACACACTTTCTGCTGAAAGCAGAAGTGCGCGGCTGCCAGCCCGGACCTTTTATAATGTTTATGAATCCTGCTCCTGCTTTGTGCCTCTAATTTAGGTACGAACTCCAATTGTTTCTCTAGTGCTCTGCAGACTGGCTGCTTGATACTGCAGGTTGACTAACATGAAACGGATGACTTTGCCTACAGAACGGCGCTAGTCCAACATCTGCAAAAAATGAAAAAAACAATTGAAAGTCAATATAGATATATGTCAATCTGATACATATTCATCCCTGCAGAGAGGCCCGCGTCCTTCTGCACCCAGACGTGTACAACACCTTCCTCAACATTGTCATCGACGACGACGAGAAGAGGGCAAACGCCAGGACGATATGGGACAACCTGGCGTGCTTTTACAACGAGCTTATCAAGCCCCTCGACGATCCAACTGACCAAGCTGAACGTCTGCGCAAGAGCGTTCTGGTGCAGGACAAGGCTGTGGCCTACGTGGACAGCTTCACCGCCCAGGTGGGGATGGACAAAGCAACTCTCTACATGCATCAGGCCATGGACCACATACCTGAGATGGTGCTCCGGTTCGAGGTGGACATCTCGGACATGTCACAGCAGTTTGTTGAAGCCAAGCTGAAGGAGGGAAAGACAGACATGCAGCTGTTTAGCAACAAGCGGCTGGTGGACGAAACGCAGAAGAAGGGCCGGAACCAACAGGTGATGGCAAAGGGACGAGAGAGAATTGCTCTGAAGCAGTCCATTGACTTTCCCCTGAGCCGGAACGAGAAGCGACAGCTGGGTGATGGTAGTAAAGCGGCCGAGCAGACGGTTGAGAGGGCGCGGAGGCGGGGGCAGCTGGCCAGTCGGAGTCAGGCGCAGATCGAGAAGAGGGTAGCAAAGTGCGCGCCCGACGTCAGTCGGGTGTACCTCGGTTACAAGAACAAGCTGGAGCAGCTCACCGGGTTGGAAGAAGGGGGGGAGTCGGACGAGGAGCTCCCGAACAACGTGGCGTCGCGGGCGAGCGCCTCCTTCATCAGCAACGCGAACACGTCCGGAAACCAGGGCCCCGTTTCAGGGATGCCGCGGGCGTCAGGGGTGGCAGAGAGCGAAGTGGGGCGCGGAGCAGGAGTTGAGCCGGAGCGAGGTGGTCTGGCAGCAGGACCAGCCCTTGCGCAGGCTGCAGGCAGGGGTGCAGGCAGGGGGGGGCGGGCAGGAGGGGGTGGGGCTAGAGGCAGGGGGCCAGGTGGGGCTGGGAGGGGCGCAGGCGCAAGAGGTCGAGGAAGAGGCCGGACGACCGGTGGCAGAGCCATCCCTGCATCAGCTAGACCAAATTAGTTCAGTTCAAACCTAGTTAAAATTGAAGGATAGATGGGTTTGCTAGAAGGAATGCGTTAGACTAGACTTTATTTGGCAAGTTAGGATGTGCTTCTCCACCCTGATCCTTGACGAACTGGAAAGATCAAATCAAACTCACAAACCACAATAAATGTCAGCATTTCTTGTTCGTCAGATGCAGACCGCTGGTCAGGTGCTCCAGTCCTAAGCTGTTGCCCTATATCGTGTTTCAATGTGCTTAGAAAAGAGTGTTATCACCTGAGGGATGCCAAGCTGCCGCTGTTCAAGAAACCGTCATCCAATCATTTGAACAAGCAATAAGGTTTCATGAGAATTTCGCTTGATTGGTACATGTATGCTTACCTGACGAGGCATTGCCGACTCCTTGTGATGCTGGCAGCTCGTGAAACCCTTCCTCCGTGTCTTCAGCATGCACATGGGCCAGCCGACCCCTCCTTTGCTTGGTCTCTCCGCTGCCATCTTCTGAAGGCCTTGGCATAATGTAGTGCTCAGAGACCATGGACCTCTCATGCCTAGCCATGGAGAATGCTTCCTCATCGAAAGAATCTCCCACCACATACTCTGCCCTCAGGATTGCTTCCGACGCCTCAACCATTGCATCTGACACGCTGTACTCACAGTTTTTCATGTTGAATGCCTGATCCCGTATCCACTTCTCAACAAAGTCCCAACCCTGCGCTGGCTCAAGCATGCCCTCTGCTTTGCTTATGTTGCCTGCGACAGTAAGCTGCACCCAGCCATAGAGAAAATGAACTCTCGCCCCTGCTGCTTTGCTGACAGTGTGGGTGACTTCAACTGGTGGAACGACTACCAGAAGTTCCCCTGTCCCCAGCAGCTTGCAACAGCCCGCCCCGCGCTTCTCATTGACAAGCAAAAAAGAACAGAACTCCTCCACTGCTCGTGTAGTCTCTAAAAGCTTGACATGCACGTGACAACCGTGCTGGTCTTGTAGTCAACCTCGTCCCAATCCTCAGAGAAATTGGCCTTGAAAGCAGCCAGAGGAACATAGGGCTGAGTCACCCAAACAACCCCCGAGTGATTGGTACCAGACAGCCGCCAAAAGATCTTCCTGCGCCAAAAGGCCAGGATATCTCGTGCATCATACAGACAAGCATTCTTGCTAGGGCCTCCTTCAGAAAGATGTGCTCGTGCATACTGAACTTTGCATGCAGGGCAGCGCTTCATAGCTCCCTCCAGCTTCTTCCCATCCCTAGGACAGAACCGAAAAGAAGCTCCAGAAGCCTCAGTGACACGGAAGCCCTCACGAGCATCAGCAAGTTGCTTCAACTCTGTCTTTGTTTTCTTTGGGCGGGGGCGGTCAGAGAACCTTTGCTCCTTCTTCTTGCCCTTGCGTTCCCTTTCTCCACCTGCCATGTACCTGCCTGCGACTCCACAGGCCTCCCTCCTTTGCTGAACCCACTGTTTTGCAGGAGAGAGGAGAGCATTGGACAATGGCTGGAAGCCTGGCCAAATTGAATCTTACAAAACCGTGCGGTGAAAGTCTTGACCTTATCTTTAGGATCGCCCCTGGCAAGTTTCAGCCACACCAAAAAATGGCTCAACAAGGACCATGCAATTTCATTGCTGTCACCTCAAACCTCCCCAGCAGTACTGGCGCGCAATCTTCCTGACCAGCACCATGCAGTGCTTGCATCTAGCGGCTGAAACTTGGTGGAAGCCCTCATCGATCGGCGTTCGAGGCCTGAGCAAGCTTTTGAAGCTCGACTTTATTGGTGCGCAGCCTCTGCAACGAGCTTTTCCGCCAAAATTTCAAATTTGAAATAGCTCCTCTGAAGCCATTTTCATGCTGTCCGAACACCTTCTTTGACATGAGTCTAACGTTTTTCGGCCTTTTACTGAGTGAAAGTCTACGAACGGCTGCGATGGTACGACGCCAGGCATATTTGTCATCCGACGGCCGCGCGCGGCTGGACCCGACTGGGCCTAGGATGGTTGTGGTCGATCCGACCGAGCCGGATGCAAATTGCATATATTCCAATTCGAGTTACCTATAATTAAATCTTGTATCCGGCTTGCCCTAAACCAGAAAGCGGACATGTTCGACATGTCTACATGCATCATTGAGGCTTCCTGATTCAAGGTAGAATCTCATTCAGCTACTAGCTTTCCAGCAGAACGGTCTTACATTCGCCTAATTTAGGAGCCGACAGATTCACCATTTTGCTAAGCTTGATCGTACCAGGTCACATATCGACAATGGGCTTTTCAAATTGACCGGCCACCTGCGAGTTGTGCACTGGGCTTGCAGAGTTCTTCCAAGGTCGAGATGCATATGAGGTTGTAAGGTTGGGAGATGGTTGCGTAGATAATTGAAACGGCCATTTTTGTTGTGACCATAGGTTTCTTTTACATTGTCAAGAAGACTTTGCTTAGCATCCAGCCAAAGCCCTGCCTCTAGTGAAACATGGTTAAGAAGTTCAGTATCGCACAAGGTTACGAAATTACAAGGATCGCTCGCAAAAAACCAGCAAATTTCGGCAATGATGTTGGTGCAAACAGGATGAAGCCTGCTGGACGGATCCTAGTCCCCGACTGGAGTCCGTGGCGTGCCTGGACTTCTCCGCTGCGTCCTTGGGGAAGCTGGGGTCGGCCAAAATCCAAACCTATCGAACATCCCCTGGAAAAGCATAAAGACAAGATCAGCACAACAATTTCAGGTCACCACTTTGACAGTCAAATCATGGATTAACAATAGACGATTCATATGTTCTTTTCAGAACCAATCCAGGAGCCAACAAGACGCAAGTCCTGTGTACTAAACCGATAATGGCTTTAGCTAGGGCGAAAAGAGAGCAAAGCGTTACAACGGGCTTACCGTCTGGTGATAGTCACTCACGCCAAGCGCGATGCAGTAGTGTTCCTGTAACAGCGAACGACAGAGCGTGCCTTCAGCGCAAGTGCTGTCACCTTTCCGCTGGCATCGAGATCGAAACAACGGCAGGATAGGGAGATCGTCCGGCATGGCCATATTCGCACTAGCGCATCCGCCAAGCACTTTTCACATCGTGGCACCGGTCTCGCTATACTGTGACCAGGGCGAGGGTCTCCGTCAAGGGACGGCTCACCTGCATGATGTGCCACTCTTCGAACTCGTCAAAGATCTCGAGCTTCTCTATCCTGCAAGCACACAGATGCCACCGTTGAGAAAAGCGCGGCGGAAAAGCCACTTCGTGCGCCCTCTCATGTCTTGAAATGCTTCGATGGGACGTCAACACAGCCTGAAGCGAGTTGATCAATTGAGACAGCAAATTTGAGCAAGTACAACACAGACCCCTCACTTTGATGGATACTTTGAAGCACCAGCCAGTACTCAAGCGAACCTTGTATCCGGCCCTCAATCGTGCCGCAGCAGCCGCCCTTCTGCATCTAAAACACTTTCACATGCACGAGAGCCTTGGCGCGATTGACTCGTGGCTTGAGATGCTCCACTCGCCGATTCGCTCCCTGTGCAGCCTTCCTGATTCATCGATGACTAAGCAGCCGCTTGCTTACCTTTGGACGTCCGCTTTGGCCAGATGGTGGGTGTAGATGGCATCCATGTCGAGAGCCTCCGCCCTCTGCAACAGGAATGAACTGTGAGTTTGGCAGTCGGCCAGAGAACACTCAAAGACGAGACAGGTCAAGAACCTATATCACGCAAAGAGATGAGCAAAATAGAATCACACTAGTGACTCTTTGAATGGGGGCAGAGGCACGTAATCATCTGGCATCCACTGATTGTCTTCTGCATAACGAAGTCTGCATGACAGGCATTTTTGAGGTCCTGCAAACTTTCTGAGAGTTGCAGCAGGATTGCTGGGCACGAAAGGCGCTGCAAATACTCTGCTAAATACAGGATCCTGGCGAACGAGAAGCCTAATTACGCCCAGTCAGGTCGCCCACAAAGCGAGCGCGGATGACGGACCTGCCAACCCGCGTTCAGGAAGCGTTGCTTCTTGGCCTCCGGAGTCGGCGTGGCCTCGATGCCCAGGAGCGGGCAGCCGCGCATCTGCAGAGCGCAACGAGTGAAGAGTCAGGTACGAACTGGTTCCAAGCGAGGACCCCGCTCTTAAAAAAGACTCGAAAGTTTGTCCCTTGGACCGACGAAGTTTTGGCGCGCAGCATCGGTGACCGGCTGCATAACACGGGAAAGCGTTGACGTCGAGTTCTCGGAACGCGTGCCAGATACTTCTCAGGGGCCGCCACATCGGATGTTCAATGTGACATCCAATAGAATGCAAGGACGGTGCCTTCGTGCCAAGCGACCTCGAAGCTCGAATTTGCTCGTGATATGAGCACTCTCACTGTGCTATTTCAAGCAGCTTAGAAACGAGATGTCACGTTGGAGGAGTGACAGCCGCTCCTTACACTTGGTGTGGAAGAGCGTCTGTAAACCTGTGCACAGAAGACTGTTGAGCCCGCAAGCGTAAACAGTAGTCAGATTAGAGAACGAATAGCCAAACGAACGTTTGGACGCTCACCTCGAGATTCCGTATCATTTGCTGCCCAAACGCGTCATCCGGCCGGATCTGAGCAGAGAAAGAAACGTTCTGATTCTCAAAGGAGCGTGGACACAATGAACAAGACTCTGCTTTTGACCTCCAATGCATTGTTCGAAAGGCTTCGACTGAAGCAACCGCAACAAGATGAACCACCGGAACCAAAAATTTATCGGGAATTGACTTTGCATCACCTTCGAAGCGAGAGAGCTGGAGGCCGCAAGTAGTGATTCGAAGCACACAAACGGTTATGGTCAACTTCTGTGCAACTGGGATACCGCCAGACTTTACACCGTGCTTTTCGCAAGCACTGCACTTCGCATCTTGAGCACGGCACTCGAAGGGGCCATCTGTGCCTTCAATAATCAACATTTGGCCTCTGTAGTGAAGCGGCTGACATGTTGCGAGTGGCACCAGGCTCAGTGAGGTCACAATCAGGTCGGCAAATGGCCGCACGGCAGCAACGCGCGGAGTCTAACTCACCTGCTCGTAGATGACGAAGACACCCGTCTTGATCTTGTCCCCCGCCCACCGGATGAGCGCCTCGCTGTCCTTGGCCTCCAGGTAGATCAGCACGCACTCCGCCAGAATCAGGGTCGGGACACTGCACGCAGAAAAAAACCACTTTAAGACGCGGCCGCTGATCAGGGCTAATCCTATCACCGGTCATCGCGCTGCCAATGGGGGAGAAGCAAATTGCTGGCCCGTTGGTTGCTGACTGTGACTCGACAAGGGAGCTTTCAGCGAGAACGAAAGCGCCACTCCTGCAAGCGGAGACCCTAGGTTCTTCTTTCTCAACGCCCGCAGTGCCCTTCCACATGCCCGGCCAGCAACCTTAGCTCCTGATTCTCTTTAGTAAAGCACCACCTGCAAGTTGCAATAATGCTGAGATACTAGAAAGTCAGGGAACAGGAACGCCTTTCAGGCTCACCTAGGATCAAAGCCGGCCCCCTTCAGCGCCTCTTCCAGACTGGAGACGTTCCGCAGGTCCGCCGCTACCAGGTTGTAGTTGCTGCTCCGCACCTCGCCTTTATCTATCGATCAAAAAAAGTTGTTGTGGGTTCTCTACTCACTTTTTGACCGTTGACAAGTCGACCATTCGCATATCTTGCTGCCGTCCAAAAAGACTCTCCTCGCAGAATGAGGATGAAAACGGGCTTCAAAGGTCAACGATGCCAAGTTCCATCGAAAAAGACGTGCTGTGGGCCTCTGCTCCTTGGGCTACGTCTGCATGGGAACTTCGAATGCAATATCGATTCGGATCTGCTATTAATCTCATCGTATTTCTTGGCTGCAGCTTGAGTCAAGCTGTAAGCTAGACGGAACGCTCGCTGCCCAAGAATGGACTGGAAAGAAGTCAAATTGCACGTCAAGGAAGCAGGAAGTCCGCGACCGTGCGTGTGATGAAATGCGTCTCTCCAAGACGTGTGTTCAAAAGTTGCAGGCACATACAAGGCCCGCCTCTTTTGACGATGTGACCTCTTCCATTACTTCTTGAAGTCCAGTTCTGGGCTGAGCCTCACCTTTCTGCACCTGCGCATATTTTGGCAGGATGTTGCACAGCTCCAGGTGGTGCGCAATGGCCGCCATCTTGCGGCTGGTGACCTGGAAGTAAGAACGGCCAGGGTTGCTCAGCTTCTTCATGAGAACACCGTGGGGTAGCAATGCGACCAAGTAATGCATAGAAACAGCTTTTGTTGAGGCTCCCAGATTTGCAAGAGTGAGCCCGACCCCAATGTGTTGCAAGTCCAGTCGATTGCAGGGTAGGAACAGGCACAGGACAGCTCACCTCCAAAAAGTCGACCTCGTAGTAGACCGCTGGCGCAGTGCCTTCCGCCTGGTGAGAGTGTAACATGTCAGAAAAGTCTGTCTGGGTGGCTGAGCAGGAAGTAAGCCTGCTTCTTGAGTGCCAATCGGTGGCCCTGCTTCTGCACAGTCGCCATTTGCTCCTTGCTTGGTTGCCGACTCTGCCAGTTGACAGATGCATCTCGCCCAAATACCTGACGGCAAGACACGCTTTCTCCAAAAAAGAACCTGCGACCTCACTGAAAAGAATTGCCGTCAAGTGAAGAAGTGCCGCTGTCAGCAACAAAGGTCAGTATGATCAGCGCAAGGTTGCATCAAAGTCACCTGCAGCTGAAAGTAGGTTGTGTCGAAGCCCGCCCCCAGAGACAAGACCTGCTTCTTCACGGGCACGTTCGGGTTTTCTGACGGTGCTGCTGTGAGGAACTGGTGAAGCAGCTTCCGGACAGCTGCCCAGCGCGCATAGTAACCTGCAGAAGAGATAACCACTTGTCTCCAAACTGCATTCTGGTTTACGTGAGTACTTGACATGTCGTTGGCTCATTGGAAGACCATTTTGCTGTGCCTAGCATTAAGGGGCAGTGGCGAAGGCGAGGGCTTTGCAGATGTCCACCTTGAAGAAACATAGAATCAACTCTCGGTGTAGACTGTACGATATGTTGCATAAAGTGGGCGACATGCACTGGCAAGTGGAGACTGGCAGTTGAAAGCATCCAACTGGGCATCTATATTAAAATGAGGGCAGACTGGCACTGTGGAGGTCTTGTTCTGAGGATAGGGTCTAAAACTCCAGACCAGTCAATTGCTGTTCTCCCCCACCTCTATTGATCACTGGAGCCCGCTTGGTGAAGCGCTTGATGAAGTACTTGACAAAGTCATCCTTGACGTACCCCATCTTTGTGCAAGACCTGCAGCGTCCAAACTAAGCTCACTAGAATACACATACGCAGCAATCACTTGATCGGACGGGATGTTATCAAGAGCCAAAAAGCGGGGATCCAATTGCAAAGTTTCTTTTGATCTGATCAGTTCCTTGATGCTGGACAGGGCAAGCAGCCAACCCAGTACCATCATGTCTCCAGTCCAGCTGTTTGTCACCACTTTAGAAAGCGATCAGACAAAATGCTGAATTCACCCGCAAACCACCAAAAACAAATGAATTGGATGAATCAGCAGTGCATTCGTCAATTCCTGATGGCCAGCATCATCGAGCGGTATGGAGGTTTGGCCGCACTCACGCTTTGCTCACTGTCGCGTCGTCGTTTGTCCCCATCACGGAAGCGTCACTGCTTCCGGCAAAACCGACGCCCGAGCCTGGGGAGCTGCCAAACCTGCCTGGATACAGCGGTGGTTCCATCACGACGATGTCGAGCACTTGCTTCAGAGAAGTAGAAAGTGCATCGATTGGTTGACCACTTGATCAAGCACAAGCTCGAATGAGGCGAAGCCACCAACTAGGTTCCTGACGTGCTCTCAGGGCAGAAGCGCCATCGTGCAGGCTGCAATCTGCGCCCTATCGAGCTGGCCCCCTCACAAAAGAAACACTGCACATGACAGGCCTGAGTGCTGTTCTAGCAAAAAGACCGGGAGCGTGGGGGAACAACATTTGCGTAATTTTTGGCAAAAAAGTGGGGTGTGTGGGGAGCAACACATTTGCGGCCTCTGGGAAGTTTGTTTGGCCTTCATCGCGTGCGTCCGATAGAACATCCGACGCCTCCGAAGCGGTCCACGTCAGCATCTCCTTCCGGAGCGGCAAGAAGCGCTTGACACTGTGTTTTCCGACCGCGACCGGGGCGGAAGAGTAGAGAATGGCGGAAAATGGTCGAAAATGGCTGCGCAGGAAGTGAAGAAGTAGAAGCTGAAGTCACAACTAGGTAGATGAGGAAGCTCGAGGGAGTTGCTGCGGCTCGTGTGGAGGGAAAACTCTCTTGAAGTTGGTCTTCGATCATGGGGTCAAAGGCCACTCCAGCATCCTATGATCAGTAAGAAGAGCTTTGTGTGGAGGTGGACGGGTCAGCATTGTCACAGCAGGGCTAGCGCAAGGAGAAGCTGTTGTCCAGTGAATGGTGCCTTAACCGCTGCAATTTACCTCCCAGAATGAGGTGTCCTGCAGCAGACTTAGAGATATCTCATACAGAAGCCAACAATCTCTACATAGCCACCTTCTTCCGCTGGCGCTCTGCTCCTTCCTCGGGCTTTCATGGCGGCTGGTGAGTTGTCTGACTTTTACTCATGTGGACATTTTGAGGACTCCTTCTTAGCAGGACTCCCCTGCATTCACAAAACTCAAGCGGGGGTTTCTGACAGCGATCATTTCATTCTGCAGATGCGACAATGTCCAGTCATTCTGAAATTGCGGTCAATTGTCATGATGTTCATTTCAATCAGATGCTCCAATGCCAGTATTGGCTACTCCAGTTTCTTCTGCCCCACTCTTCATGTATCTCAGTGATGCCTCAATGCTCGCAGTGCCATCGTTCCGCTGAAAGCCTATTTGTTGTTCACTAGCATTGTTTGTGATCAGCGACCCGACTTGTTCTTCATTGATGACTTTGTTAATTTGTTTCCTAGGTGTTTGCTCAGACCATCGTGAAGATCGTCCAAGCGGGGTCGGAAATGCGGAGGAGAGGCAGATTGTGCAAGTTTAGCAACCAGGTCAGTCTCCAGTACCAGCAGTTCGAACTTGCGTCTCTCTGTGTTAAGATTGAGGCCTGTTGATCATATCTTTTCTAGGTATCTCCTCCTTATTGTCATAGCCTTCAGTGCAATCAGTAGATTGCCGAGCTCGCTGTGCTGGTTTCCCTTGTTATATGCTGATCTTGCAGGCCCCGCTGTTATCTGCTTGTGCATCTTCAGTACCAAATTTGTCATTAAAGTTCTGGTGACAGAGTCAGATCTTGGGGCTATGCAGATGCAAAATGGTTTCAAAGATTTAGGACATCTGGTTGACGTCCTTTTGTTTGCTAAGGTTTGCAAAACTTGTCTTCATTTTGCATGCAATGTCGGGCCCGGGGTTTGATCTGGAGGCTTGCTTCTCTTGCAGATCCAGGTCTGTGTTTCCATTCTGATGGATCCTTTGTGAAAGAAGGACGCACGCGGGCCAGCTCAAGAGGAGCAGCGACAGAGTTCGTAGCATCGTAAATCTGGACGGGGACGATATGGAGACGCTGAGTGTTAACGGGAGGGACGGACGGGAGGGACGGCAGCGGGGGGTGGTGGGGGGAGTCGAAAGCATACTAAGCATCATAAAGTGTGGATGCAGCCTCGAGCTGGAGAAAGACAGCAAGGGGGGCAGGCGGCTCAGGTTGGAAAGAAGGGGACCAATTCGAATGGCAGTGGGGATTTATGCGTGGGCGAGCATCTGGCGCAAGGAGAAGCGGAGATCACCGGGCCAACTTCTCCTGGAAAGGGACTTCTGCCGCAGCCCTGGCAGCTGGTCCAGGACCAAGAAGAAGCTCAGCGGAGCAGCCAAGTGCCGCCGGCGGGACACTTGCATCAAGGGGTTGCTAAGCAAGGGCCGATGATGGGGCCTCAGCTGGGGGATCAGGTGGCCTCTGCGGGGGGTCCTCAGGAGGGGACCGGCCTGCCCCCGGAAGGGGGTCCGCAGGAGGTCGCTGAGCAGGATAAGGTGAATGTTGTTGCATTTCTTTCTCTTTCTGCGCTTTCTGACATTAGAGTGTTGAAAGGCTTGTATGACACAGGGTGTTCTCAACGTGTTCGGCATAGAGCTATAATTTGGAGGGCAAGTAACAGTATCGCTTGCAAGCCACAATGCAAGTACGCAATTAAGCCTAGGCATGTGTTTGGATCTTCAAGACAGGCTGCCTCGGTATGGTAGATGTTTTTGTCCAGGTCTGGATCGAAACTGTGGCCCATGTATGTAGTCCCTGAAGTCCAGTCGAGTTGGACCCACTTCGCCCTCCCCGTACTGTTTTGAGTTACAACATCTTGAAAGCTTTTATTCTTGTGGTGCTGTAGCGAAGGGCGGTGACAAAGAGAGGGGGACGTACCGCGAGACACAAAATGAAGTCCAACGCCGCGCTGGTGGCGCGTCGTCCCCAACATGCTGCCCTTCTAGCACAAACAGGCCACCCTTGGCATCCACATCTACCCCAACCTCAAACCCCCCATTGCCCTCGGTAGAGGGCCGCCGCTCGAGCCACAACAACACCCTCCTCTCTTGGCCAGCTGCACCTGGTTCCCTTCCATCCAACCTCGGCCATTTTTCCCGACTGCAAGTGGACCCCAGCCTCACCCCCAGAACTATGAATTCCGCCCAACCAGCGGTCCGCAAGTCTCCCCAATCCAACCTCACCTTCCCCAGAATGTGGCCCCTGACAGCAGACCCCAGTGCAGCCTTCGCCCCCCCAGCCTGCCGTTCTTTTACTCTGCAGCAAACCCGGGACGCACTCAGATTGGTCGGGGCATGCCGCCTGGATCGGGATCTGCGAATCAGGTCCAGGGTGCATTTCCGCGCCATCATTCGGGGACGCCGGGAGGCCCTCTGCCGTCCCTGGGAAGCCCACCCCCGCAGCAGACGCTGTTTCAGCGGCCTGCGCCCCCTCCAAACCTAGGAGCTGGCCCCCAGATGCACGGGCAACCGTCCCCCGAGCCTCCGGATGATGCAGCACGGCAACCAGGAGGGCGTGCCGGCACTGGTCCCACTGTACCCGAGCGTCTGATCCGGTTGATGAGCTATGGAAGGGAGCGCCTGCTGGAGGAGCTGCGGAGCAATCAGCTCCCGAGTGATGACGAGAAT